ACGAAGAGTTATAGTTGAGGATTGATTAGTATACTCGAATACTTATAACAAATTATACTTATTATTAACAGTAACGTAAATATACTTATTAATATACGTATTTTTTATGATACTTTATTATGTATGTTGAGTTACCGTAAATGTAGTTGTAGTTTATTGTTTATATTTTTATTTTATTGGTATATTTTTTTCGTTAATAGTTAGTGTATTATCGTGTAATCATGAGATCAAGGATGATCGTGGGACTTATATTAAAGTTATCCCAGAGCATATTTGCCAGGGGAACTTAATATAGGAAATAACATAGATCATGTATGGACATAGTATATTATAGTAACCACGGAAGTAATACGCACTTAAAGTATTACGTCATCTAAAATATGGGATGCCCATGTTTGGTTGGTCAGTAAAGATAGGATAATAAATAAATAGACCATACGAGTATATTATGAAACTGCACGGTATATTTAAAAGAATATTTAGAAATTTAACTATATGAGAAGTCTTGAGAATTTTAAGTTTAATTAAGACTAATGATTGATATAACAATTGTATATTGTATTAAGTATTAAGCTCATACTAAGAAATAAGAACACATAAAAAGACATCATGAATCAGATTATGATCTGGGAATGCGAGGAGTGCAGACAGGTTATGCGTATAACTGGAAAAGAGCAAGATCTATTGGAAGCATCTGCACACTATGAAAAACATATGGTAGAAAAAGATGGCTTTGATTTGTCAAAAGGTGTTATGCTATCACAAGAAAATGCCGAAATTGTTAAGAAGATACATCAGGCTATTTTTCTCGAACATCTAAGAATAAAGGTTCCAGATTTTGCAAAAGCTGTTGCTAAACATTATAAAATTACCTACACGTGTGATCAACTGTTCGAGGTCCTAAAAACAATGAAACCACCTCTAATGGAAGACACGACAATGGACGATCCTTCAAGATAATCATTCAACGATTCAAACAGTACAAGACAGAGTAATGCCGTTTGAAAACGAATAACCAACCGACTAAAGAAATATATTACGACCATCCAAAAAAGACAATTATTGTACGATGACGATAAGGTAGATCGTCTATGAACTCTGAAAGGAGAGTACTATACATATTTTGATGTCGAACTATTTGTTTATTGACATGTACTCAAGAAGGAGAATGTCGTATTGTGTTTTATTTCTAGCGGACATCTGACTTACTCAGATGAGAAGCCGCATTCTCGTATCAGAGATCAAAGTTAAGAAGCGGACGTTTGACTTATTCAGACGAGAAGCCGCATTCTCAATATGGAGAACAAAGTTAAGAAAGGACACTCAACTTATTTGAGTGATAAGCCGATATGTATATATATATGAAACAGAGAAAATTAATAAGGAAGTTGTTAAGTCTTCTCATATGCTTATGCTTATTAAGTCGTATATTTTCTTTGTAATTGTGTCTTGCTTTTATTCAAGTTATACCCAGATACCTAATCTGACTATATTGGTGCACGTCTCACCCTGTACATTAAAATCCTAACAAAAAAATTATAAAATGAGACGTGAAAAAACCTTATTATTAACCAATACTATAAGATTGATATATTTGAATGATATGTTTTGCCATCGAATGAAGAACGCTATCCAAATTAAGAGAACGAAACGTATTTGAGAAATTAAATCTCAAATTGGTCTTGACGTATAGAGGGGCACTCGTAGGGTCCTACCCTCCATAAGATTCGTAGACCAATTAATTTGATAAGTACAAAATGGATATATGCGAACGAGACACGATATATTCAGAATATGCGCGAATGAGACACGGTATATTCATGTATTATATAATATATGCAGTTGTTATACGATATATTGTATATAACGTCAAAGTGAGATTGTATTTTTGAAATGTATTTATCATATGAACAGGATAGTGGACGAAAAATGAACGCATATATAATGCGTAGGGGTATCAAGAATGATATTTGTGGACTTTGGCAAATTGGGTTATTTCTTGAAACCTTGAAAAATTTTTCGATCGACTATACTGAAACTGATTGGATGCCAAAATAATATGTGAATAGTATATGTTTATTTTTATAAATGAACTGATTGGAGTATTTGGTTGTATTAAGGTTTAATTATATGAATGATAAGTTAAAAAAATTGCAAAGATCTGATTGGATGCCCAATCTGGGGCTAAAGTAGGAAGATGTTCAAATAGAAGAGATCGAAAGAAGCTACAGATTTAGATGGAAGTCTAATCGGACGGTTTTGTATAAGTATCGTTATTATAATAGGATTCGTTGAAAAATAAAATAAAGCAAAATTTAAAAATACTTGACGAGAATAAGGGGACCCTAGGAGGACTTGTGTAAATCATTGACTTTGAATTTAGGCCTTTTGAAGATCTCGAGAGACAACCTGAGCAAAAGAGATTCTGCACAACTTCCTCACAGATTGGTGGCAGCGGATTGGTCTTCTCTTTTAGAAGGAGGAGGGATAGAGATTCTCCAGACGATTCTCGAGGAACTCGAAAGATCGAAGAGTAAAAGGGACTTGAGGAACTCAGAATAATTGGAAGAATCCGAAAAAGTTAAGTATTTTTAAACATATGAAAAGGAATACGCAAGCAAGTCACGCGCAAAAAAAGCTCTAATCAGAACATTTTCTTTGAGAAGGGATAGGCTAGGAACAAATTTAAACGCAAATATTGACCTTACTTTCATTGTTCCAGTAACGAATCCAGCACGTGACAAAGAGAGGAAAAAGGGGGAAAAAAGGCAAAGAAGTATAGAAGATAATACTCTGTCTGGGGGAGGGAGCAGTAAGTACTTGCGCCCATATTCCTTCCAGATCCAGCCTGAATCGGAAAAAATAAGCGGCAACGATTCGACAGATCTAAAATGACCTGTTGATACAGCCCGTTGAAGTACGATTAGGCAAGAAGACAAGGAGACCCAAACCTTGAGTAACCTCTAATTATTACTTGTTTAAATAAATAGTTAGTTTGTTATGAGCTGGACGAAGAGCAAGTAGAACTAAGTGAATTGATAACGGATGCATTAGAGAGACTTAAAAATTGGTAAAACGTAACAAGGCGAATTATGATAATACTAGTAAATGCAGGAGACTGCTTGTTCAGGAAGTCAATATAATGACTTGTTTGAAGGAATAGTTATTTAAGCATTTACAAAACTAATACTTAACGTTTTTCCAAGCTTACAAGAACGAATTGCTAAAATTTCTTACAGGAACTAACCATTAAACATTTCCCAGGTTTTCCATGAATAAAGTATTTGAATTCTTTTACAGGAGTTAACTATTTAAACCTTTACAGGAATTAATCGTTTATATTTTTCACAGACAAAAATTAACTAAACTAAGTAATCTATCAAGTATTTAAACATGCCGTTATCATGGTTAAAAAGGGGGGCCTCCAGACTTAACAAAGATGAAAAAAGATTACAGGACAAAATCAAAGTACTAAAAGAAACTCAAAAAAGACACGAAGAGGTTAAAACAACAAAAGACAAGTTGCAACAAGACTTAGCAACAAAACAAAAACTATTTACCCAGATAAAGAAAGAAATTCCTAAAACTCAAAAAGAGTTAAAAACTGCTCAAGCTGAGCTTAAAACGGCGACGGGTGACCTAAAGTCCATGGAAAAGGCCGCTACTAAAGCGGGTTCCAAGGTAACAATAGAAGAATTCGACCAAGTCCTGAAAAGGGAGTTCGAACTGGGCAAAAGGCAAGGGGAAGTTCTACCTGAAAGCAGAAAAATAGAACAACCGGTGTACGTAATAACGCCTGCGGCTGATCTAATGCCGACGGCCCCGATAGACGATGAAAGCCCGCCTGAATACAGAACAGTTGCAAAAAAAAGAGCATCTGACCAACAACTCGAGTCAATGGCGAGGGACCCAGAGATTCCTGAGGGCCCCGTCATCTTAATAGAAAAGGGATTAGACCACCAAACGATAAAGAAAGTCTACCCGAAACTGGAAGGAAAGACGGTAGCTTATCCGGTGGTGGGCGTGCAAGGGGTTGACGTGGTGAAAGATGGGAGAGTGAAGAGCGGGAGATTGCTCACGACACCAGGAGAAAACCCTGGAGGAGTAAAGTTACTACCATCTCAACGAGCAATGTTGATACCAAAACCAATCTTCCCGACGCCGGGATTTAGCCGATCAGAAGAACGAGACCACGAAAGATTTATGAACAACTGGTGGCTAGCAGAGACTAACAAACCTCTTCCTGGATACACCGGATCCAAGGGATACCAGGAGGCCGAGATAAGAAGTCCTGATATAGTGGTACCGGCGCCTGACGCCACTCCACGACAGCGACCGTTAGCCCGAAGGCTATCCTTGGATAGTTTTGATTCTGATGTCACACCAGCGCCTTCCAAACCCTGGAATGTGAACGAAATGATGGCGGTGATGAAGAATCCAGCGGAAACGCATATCCTTAGATTTATGGAGGATTCTATGAGATTTATTCCACATGGAGAAGGCAACACGATAGCCGACCGAATCTTGTCCAATGCCATGCAAGAAAAGTTAAGGCAGGCTGGCAGAATAGGGGATGCAGACCAGATTGCGGAGTTTTTTAATGAACCCAACCCCAGCTGGACAGAGATAATGAAGTTATTGGCGTTATCAAACCCTCAAGGAATTGTAAATAACGAAAGGGTGATAAACAGATTCGCCAGTGCATATACTTGGAAACAAAGGCCCATCCAGGCTATCCATCGAGCATTGAGAGAAATGGATATTCCATTCACTAGCCCAATACTAAATGACCAAGATGGTATAAGGCTATTCAGAATTCTCCGCGCAAAACTCCCTCTCTCGCTTCGACTACTATTGCAAGGGAAAGAACATTATGATTGGCAGACCCTTGCTGAAGAACTAGAGCAATTCTGGAACTCGGAAGATCTCGATAAACAGGCGACAGACAGTTCAAGAGGACTTGAAAAAAAGGGGGAAGTTGTAATCCACCGGCTCAGGTAATGGCAACCAGCACCCCACCCGTGAACGTCTACAACATACACCCTGACCTAACTGCAATAAAAAATGCTCTACCAACGTATCCCATAGATGGAGTTAGCGAAGAAGTGCAAAGAGCCCTAGAAAGGAGGATGCGAGAGCCAAGCAGACCGCCTCCCGTACCAAGGAGGCAAGAACCTATCGAACAACCGAGGAGAAATCCAGCCAGAACTACACGAACAACTGACAAACCATGGTTGAGGGATGCACCAAGGAGAGGTAAAGAAAAACAAGCTGCAAGGGGTAATTTCACGTCACAAAGAAGTGAGCCCAGGGCACTCAATGAAGGAACTCGCCCAACATCAAGCAGACAACAACCACCAGTTGGAAGAGAGACGACTCCTAGCAATTCTGAAGAGGCCTTGCAGATTGCAGAGCGAGAAGGTTCGTCATATGATTTCTTGGCTAATGCTAACATATTTGCACCCTTGGGACTGTACACAACACCTACTAACGGGCAATCATTGGCTGTTTGTTATTTGTGTAAAGCACCGGGCCACCTCTCAAAAAACTGTGTGGTTAAAGCAATATTATGGCTAAGTGATAAAGTTTTAGCTAAAAATGACGGGGGACAATGGGGAATTAAAGAAAGGGCACGGCCATTGCCTGATCATGTGAGAGAAGAGAATATTGCCAATTGGGGAGCCTTTTTGGGAGGTCATAACCCATTAGGCCTCAGGCTGAAAGGGGTGAAAGAATTAGACGATTATTTCGCAACGCAAGGGTCTCCCCCCCTAGTGGAAAGGGCCAATTTATGTGAAGATTATTTCGGAACTAGGCCCAAGGAAAGAGACAAAACACACTGGCTGAACAGGAATCAATGGAGGCCACCTGTGACAGCTGAACCAAGAAACAAACAAAGACCAGTACCAACACACTGGACACAACCCCAAGTCCAACAAGGCCTGGACGTGGCGGGAAACGGTATAGGGAGCTGGCGGGACTCTCAGCAAATGCGACATTAAGTCAGCTCCCGGAAATGAAGACTTATAAAAACATTATGAAAACTTTAAATAATTTTAATTTACCTTTGTTTACATTATTCGGAGAATTTGATCAAGAAAGCAGTAATTTCTCGGATATTTTTGGTGATAAATTGATGTACCTAGTTGACCAAAATACGGGAGCGGCCTATTTGGCTGATACAGGTTCAATTCCAAACCTAATGACTATAGAAACAGCAAAAAGGGCTTATCCGCAAAGTTGGGCGACCAGAAAAAACCTGAATATGAAACTAAGGGGCATTGGGGGAACGTCTGAAGTTGACTCTCTAATAACGATTAATATAGAAGGGACGCAAATTCCATTTGCAACAGGGAAAGGCGTACCACTAAACATAGTTGGTTTTGCATGGATAGAAAGAGTAATGGCCTTAAAATCCGTTACGACAGAGCTGGAAAACCCGTCTTCACATCTGAGCGATCTAGTCATGGCCGTAGATTTATCTGGGAGTGACGACCCCCAGGTGGACCTATGGGAGCCACGGTACAATGAAATATTAGGAATCCCCAATCTGAATGGATTCCCCCTGAGTGTAAGAAACCGGGGAAAGTATTTCAATTATGACGTTAAAGGCCAAGGGTCAAACAAATTGAACAGGGCCACTATAAATCGAGAAGGGGAAAGAGTTGGTGTCTCCGGGCAAACTCAAGAAGTCGACGCTTCAGAGCGGACTCAAGAAAACCCTAAGCTCGAGCCCAAGCAAAACGGGGGGTCTCAGGACCCATGCCTGGGTAATTTCAGCGATTTATCGACTGCAGCGAAATCGCCTGTCATAAGTGTACCGGATGAAAGAATGAAGTGGGTCAATAAAACTCTAGTAGGCGACTATGTGTTAAAGGAAGGATCAGCCGAAGCAGTAAGAACGGAACTACGTCTGTTAAGTGCGGAAGCGGTAGCCTTAGCACGAGAAAGGTATGTGTCGCCTGATGAAAATGATAAAGAAAATACAATAATCACCGAAGAAGAGTGGAAAGTGGTTTATGAACCCTATTCTAAAACACTGGGGGACTTAAGGGGCAACCTGAAGAAGCCCCAAGCCCTTAACTCTTTGAACTCTGAATCCCCAGAACGATGCTACTCTCTCACCCTGACCTCCCACGGCGTCGCATCGATTTGACGCGTTAAAAAATTGTAATATCCCTAATTTTAAATCAAAATAACTTCTAAACCATTAGATATCAGATGGTCTGTAATATATCATATAAAAGCTTATCTAGTCTTTTATTTTTAACTGGCATTATTTTTCACGATATGTTTTGATGAGATGTGTAAGCCTATTTTGTAGCCCCATCTTACTATTTTTTTGTATTTTGGGTAATATTTAATACATTTCTTAGAAATGTATCATCAAATATAAGTACAATTTTGAAAAGTATACCAAAATTACCTTTCGGAGAATATACGTATGACTTTTCTTAACATACGCATAACTCATTTTATTGCAGAATTTGTACTATCGATTCAAATGGTTTGCGAACAAAATTTATCAACTATTTGACGCCAAGTTTGCGTGAGGACGCAAATGGCGACGACGACATTGTCGTGATAACGTTCATGCGACGTATCGTGCGTAACTCTTTGCCGTGAGGTATATTGCGCATTGCACATCTGGTCGTTCACAGCTTGAGTGCAGATTGTGGCTTCATTGCATTAGTATCATATCCTCGGCCGCAGATAAACCCTTTCCAGACGAATTTTGATCGAACATAGTAAAATTGCTAGAATATAAAGGCCATTTTATATACGTTTACTATTTGGATATGGACGAAAAAATGAATGGCCAAACGAAATATTTGATCCTCATGAATTTATGAGGTTCCGCCGGAAACATCAAGGCTAATTATTCACCGTGGATATCATGAAGATTGAATAAAAAAAAACTGATAACGGGTACACGGAAGACATGTGGCACCAGTAGCTCACCTGGTCAGTGTTTTACATTTTGCAGCCTCATTAGATTTTCGAAATTACTGCATATACGCTAGCATTCCTGATATCGCTATATTTACAATGGATTTTAACGAAAGCTTTGTCCAGATGAAATATTGGGATAGTATTCATCTATCGGAAGAAGAAAATATGGCACAATAAAACTCAGCAATGGCGCTAAACAATGCATCCATCGATATGTTCCATCATTCTGTTTTAAAAATCCTTATTTTGGCTATTCGTATTTTTCATATCTTTATGCAATTAAAACGGCATAAACACTGCGTATTGTGTGTTTTAGTCGAACCGATGTAATGCGTAAATTTCCCCGTGTATCGTTTACAAGTCGTAAGTCGCTTCACGAGTACGAACTTAAGTAAATGACGTTACGAGCATGCGAGGAAAAGTGTTTCTCGTATGAAACGTAAACGTGCTACGTGCCAACGTAATTGCTTAACGTCGCTGCGTAACGGCGTAAAATGTGTTAGGTCGTTATTTACGTCACCTTGAGGTCGCCTCGATCTTGCGACAAACAAAATCACGAATAAAAATGCTTCTAAAATTTGAATGGTGCAACATAAGTTCAATCTAATGGTATCACTGGAAAGCTATCTTCAAATTCTACAAATTTTGTCGATAATGTACTAGGTTAATCGAAAAACAAATTTAAGTTTTGTCAATTAGATTTGAGCAATTTTTCAGAAGTTTTTTATGCTTTTTAATTTTGCCAATTTTCAAAGATGATCACAATATTTTATCTCAATTTTAAAATTATACTTAGTCCGTGTAGATATCTTTCACACGATGTAAAACTTGTCTAAATATAATAAATGGTTCGCGAGATATGAGGTTTCAAAGTTGCATACCTCCTTTACGGGATGCGAAAGCCGCTAAAACCGGCTTTCAGCGTCAGAAGACTTCTCGGCGAAAGCCGGTTTAGCGGCTTTCAGGGTTCAAAGAGTTAAGTATCCGTGCAAAGTTGAATTAAAAGACCCCAATATAAACCATTTGTTTCAGGACCATATAATTTAAAAAGGTAAAGGGCAAATGGAAGCTCTCGAAGAAGCAGTACAAAAATTCCTGGATTTGGGGGTAACCGAGGTTGGATTTTGCGGAATGGAAATGGCAATGATTCGTGGTACCTCAGAAAGTGAAATGAACCCAAAGCATGGAAGATGGATGGAAGCAAGCGTGGAGAGTGGTACAGAATCTACAACCTTTGAACGCGGTGATAAAAGAAGTCAATATCTCGCCGCCGTTGGTACCTGATATAAAACAGATGGCGCGAGGTAGAGAGGTATTAACTCTGCTCGATTTAAAGAAAGCTTACTACCATTTGGAAGTAACGCCGTGTTCCAAACAGTACTTGGGAATAGCTATCAAGGGCGAACATCTAAGGTGGAGACGAATGCCGATGGGATTACGAAACGCCGTCGGAATTTGGTCAGCAAATATGCAAGAATGCATTGTTAAACCGATAACGGATCGATACAGACGATATATGAGTGACAAAGGTCGAGATGACGAGTCGAGGGCGACGCCGATAGACGCCTATATAGATGACGTGTTCCTGAGTACCAAATCGGTAGAAGATCACATGATTCTCCTACACATGACATTTGAGCAATTGGCAAAGATGAGACTTACCCTGAGTATTAATAAATGTTTTATTGGAAAACGTAAAATAAATCTTCTTGGGGCCACCCTGACGGGAAAACAAATTGAGGTACAACCTGAGAGAATTCGAGCTCTTAAAGAATTAACACCCCCTAGAAATATTTATGAGCTAAGAGGATGGATAGGTGCCCTAAGATATATTTCGGAACACATACCTAAATTGAGCTTAAAATTAGCTAAATTTGATGCGTTGACAGGAAAGGTACCGGCAACGCGAGGGAGACTAACCCCTGTGTTATGGACGGAAGAGCTCCTGAGCGATTATAAGGTTGCCAGAAGTCAGCTGGACAAGACTCAGGTACTATATCATGTAAATCCGGAGTTACCACTGTATGTAGAAACGGATGCATCTGAAAACGGGTTCGGAGCAGTGATGTTTCATACTGAGCGGGGTGAGGAACCACCATTCAAAAGTGTATACCCTATAGCATTTTATAGCAAAAAATTGCTCACAGCGGCAGCTAGGTGCTATGATCCTTGCACTAAGGAGTTAAAAGCGCTCAAGGAAACTGTTGATAAATGGCAGTCTATTTTATATGGGATACCGTTTACGGTAATAACAGATAATACGGGAGTTTATGGCCTGCTGAAGCGGATGAAAGAGCAACCCAAGAATCCTTCGCCCAAAATGTTAATCCAAAGGTGGCTTAATCACTTATCGGGTTTTCAGATTGAACGAATAATACACTTGAGCACGAATGAAGTTTTTACATCGGATGGGTTGTCAAGATCCTACTGGATGGAACTGGCAGCTGGAGAAGATGAACCAGGTGTTTGGGCGGCGGAACTGATTTCACCCGAAACTGCTGAAATAAATAAGATACAGCGAATTCTGGTAAAGCATTGTAGACATGAGGAGTGCCCTTATGCAAGAGGGGGACTTCATCCGTGGCCTCGGTTGCAAGAAATGCTGTTAATCCGGACAGGAAAGATATATGAAGTAGAGACCTTGGAAGAGATCATGGAAGACAGCGAACGGGTAACCTTGAATAAAGACGGGTTAACCGCCTCTTATGGACACTCCAAGGGACAGACACCTAATTATCAAGAATACAAGGGAAATGAAACACTGTATCACCTAACCCGCTCGAAGAATGTGGAGTCGATATTAAAGAAGGGATTAAAGCCAATGGCTAGAGGGTATATTCATCTAACGAACATTCAAAGACCTCGAACTCGCAAAAGAGCAAAAACAATTTCGATCCAGCCCGGAAATTTAAGAGAAACCGGGATAAAACTTTGGCAAACCCCTAACCCGGAAGTTATTTTGTGTAAAGTTCCAATACCCGGGAAAATGTTGAATTTAATGAACTAGATATGAAAGGGAAATTAGTACACAAATAATATCAGCCAAACTATGCTAATGAGTCATCAGCTTAAAGTGTTACTCACCTGACTAATAACATGATTGGAATGACTCAGCACAAACCAGAAGTATGAATGATCTCGCTGGTGCGCATACTTCTGGAGCCCCGAAATTTATATCCATAAAAATTACAGTCGTATTTTCCAACAGAAACACGCGCGCCGGATAAAACATTTCAGTGGGCCTGGTCCGACCCGCGGGATGTGAATTGCCCACCCATGGTCTAAGATATGACGAATTAGCGTATCGCAGGGTCAGATTCAGAGTTCAGACGACGAGAGGTTCTCATTTGTGATCATTTATGTAGATTAGATAGTATCAAGTATACTGATCGAGTTTGAAAACACTCAAGAAAGAAACTCAAGGCTGTATAAAAACGCCATGACACCAGGAAATCATTACCAACAATCATAATACTGTAATACCCGTTTTTAGTCGCGAGATGTGGAGGGGGATTGTCTATTTAGGCTACTGATAAATAAATTAGGACAACTTCATTTTTTCGACTGTACCGTATTTAATGTTTATAACCTTATTTGAGACAAGAATTATTAATCTGATTAAAAATAATTAAACAGACATCAATTACAGTATATAAGTTTGAAGTTGCTATATTGTGGAAAAATCTTTACTATTAATTTATAAAAAAGAGTCATACGATAGTTCAGCGACTAACCAGATCGTTCAAAGTTGAGTGTCCAGCGCTCATATGCTAGGCCAGGTCGGTCCAAACCCAGGCCACATGTGGCCCGCGGCTTCATTATCTGTGGCCCGCGTCGCATTTGCGAGAGGGTAAACAAAAAATCTTATTTGGTGTTGTTCCGTCATAAAAATCTTTTGACATATTGTTACTTCACTGATCTCAACGAATTGGTTAGTGTCATGGCTAAGTTGAATAATGTGCTTGACTAGTCTAAACTGTTACTGGCTTTCTATCTTTTGGTCGAGAATATATGCTAACAAAATAGGCTTCGTAGAACACTAAATATCGAATGTTGGTTATGCCCAGTACGTTAGTCGTTGGCTATGCCTGATAACTAAATATTGATTTCCTGGGTGCCTGAACAGTATTACAAAAACTGCTGCTTTTATATCAGAAAATATAGTAATTACCCTCCCGTATCTCAAGTTTGTAAAATTCAATCATATCCGCAGCTATTTATAAGTTATTTTGGAAACGTATGTTTGAAAAGAAAGCTGACCTATTCAAACAGATTTTTGACTGGATATGGCAAGGTTAATACCACAATGCTTGCTTGATATGTCTGCAAGTTGGGTCGGTGACAAACTAAAACGTCATTTTCTCCGTTATTAAGAGTTTAAAATCTTACACTGAATATAGATTGAATAAGATTTTTGCACGTTTTCAGCTTAATAAATGACAAATAATGACCAATGTGTTTGAACAATAAAAGTGTTGGTGTTGTATTGCACTGTTTACCTATTCCTGGCACCATTGTGGCCCGCGAACAATACAAAAATAATAGTGTGGCCCGCGAGACCAACACCTTTGAACCACCCTGTAGCCAGTCTACTCTGCCTAATACGGTAGTAAATCCGGCCCTGGGGTACCATTTTTGGCGATGCACGGTACCGGTGATGATGGGCAAAATAGTCATGCTAAGCCGTTGTGCTAAGCGGAAGCAATTTTAAAATACGTTTGATCGGTTTAATAAATCAAAAGTGCAATCAACTTGTCCAATCAAGTCACTATCAAAATGAGCATCCAAAATTTTGCAAGGAAACCAGTAGGCCGCGAGCCGAAGCCCTGAAAAACGCCTAGAAAGTGAGTTTCGTAGCGCACATCAGGTAACTACCTGAAAAAGATTTTAAAATGTTCCTTAAAAATTTAGTAACAAGTATTGCCTTGTTCCCACTTCCAAAAGTTGCACGTTTTACGGAAAAGTCTTTATTAGTTAAGTTATGCTAAGACGTTGTTGAAAAATGTATAAGTAAGTTATTAAACACTTGTAGATCCTTACCACGAAAATGGGCCGTGAGACGAAGCCTTGAAAACGCCCAGAAAATGAGTTTCGTAGCGCACATCTGGTAACTAAATAAATTATTCAGTTTTGTGTGAAAATGAACATACTGAACGCATTACAGCTTGTTCCACAATCATGATGCGAAATTGAATTTAAGAGGTTCCCGGAAATTCAATAACCATAAGTTTACAACACATACATAAGAACTATGCAATTCGAGATCCCTACAGCACACTAACACAAATGTATTCCTGTAATGTTTTGCCTGACCAAAATCGGACTTCCTCAGTCAATCATAATTTATTAGGTAGATTACGAAAAATATGGCATACATGTAACCAACAACAAAAAATACTTTAATTGTGTGACAGGACTCGCGAGTGACCTCGAAAGCAGCGACACCGACAACGCTGATTCATATTAGCGAATAAATTTTATGTAATAACCACAAGCAGTTTACAACAAGATCAGCATAAAAAGCTACATCCATTTTATAGAAGCTATGAAACGTATTTATTTTTAAGCAATGAAGTCACAAATTAACATCGTGAGCACGAAAACACAAATAAATCAGTTATTTCTCACTTAGAAATTTACCGGAAAAGTCAAGAAAAACTAAATGAAAGTACAATATGTACATAACATAGTGAACAGAAATATTACAATTAGTATTTTTTTAATTTATGTGGTTATATATTTGAACAAAGGCAATATTTTTTCTAGAAACAGGACTACAACACTAACAAATGTCCGAAAAAACAAACAAATAAATGATACTTATGAAATCAACTGCAATATCTAATTCACTTTTTTCTGAATTGTTTTCGAAATCCACTATCTCGAAAATTGACTTTTCCTCTATAAGTGTACTGTGATTTTTGCAGTCAATACAAAAACAAAAATCTGTGCAATTTAAGTTGATTTTGGCACACTTGCATAAATTATTTTGACTATTTTTCTTACACTTGCAGTTTGCCAACTCAAGAACTGATTTGAGGGCCACATGCTTCTTCAGTGAATCATTGTTGGGTGGAGAGTATAATCCTTATGCTTGCCAGTGTTAAATAGACGTGCCCTGGTATCATTTACATTGCTCATATCCTCTTCATACAGTGAACAAACAAATTCCTCAGCTTTATTTATTAATGCCTCGTTAACCTCAAAAGATCTTCATAGTTGAGAAAAAAAATGAATTGAAAACCTCAATGAAGTCCCCAACATGAGTTTGATGGGCAGATGGGCACATCTAAGCTGTTTGCAACTATTATGATTCTTATATACCTTTACCCTTCAAGACTTCTTGTTTAATCCATTTTATAGCACTGATAGCAGCAGGGATTAGAGCCTGCGTTAGGTCGGATTGGTGGAACATTGCCGTTTTCTTTTGTAGTTCAGTATCTAAAATGAGGAAGAAAATCATATTTGGAACAGCATGAGTGTAAAAATACCACTAAAAACTAACTAATACCTTGAATACATAATGCATTTTATCTGATGTACTCAATGAGCGTATATATGCTCATTGCATGTACTACAGTCCATCAGTGTTTGCATACCATTACTAGACTATATCTACACTAAATTTTGATATATCACAGTCTGAAATGCCCTATGACAGTATGAGTATGGACTATAGACTATATTTTAAAACATCAACTGTCTGTCTACAACTTGATTCCTCACCTCTCAATCGTTTCCAATGCTACTTTCTTTCCACTCCGGCATAACTTATCATTGCTTCCCAGGTTCTTGTCGATTTAGATCAACCGACATTAGTAAAATTGATTATTTTCTGCATTACAGAAACAGCCATTAATTTCTATTTCCAAATATCGACACCTCAAAACCAAACAGTGCTAAGTCCACTTTTCCAAAAAATGACATTTTTCAATTGCTGATTTTCCTGGACTTAGCTCTACATTTTGGTCTATTTGCCTTATCTCTAGGTGCTCTAGATCTCAAGACAGCTATGGACATAACCCTTTTTTTTAGGGCATTTGAGAACTAAACAGAGCTATGTCTACTATAGTGGACTTAGCTCCAGATAACTGCATTATAAGTTGGGGCTAAGTCCGTTTTTTGGACATAGCTCCTCTCAAAAAATATAATACAAAGTGCTAAGTCCATACCAGCCTCTATTATAACATAATAAAGGGGCCCTAAGTCCAATAAAATTGTTTCTGGTCCAGAAAATTGAGAGTCAAAAAGGGTTAAGTCCAAAAAACCCCTCCCAAAAAAAATTGGGGCGGAGCACAATTTTTTTTATACCATCTAAATATGGCCTTCATTGTAACTTTGGTGGACTATAAGAACTAGACATCCTCGATGTAAGGTATTAGAGAAATAAAAAAAGAAACAAAAAAAAACGTTTTTGCATTTTTCTCAAAACTAGAAAAATGGACTTAGCCCAATTTAGATTTCATGCGTCGATATGCTGTGGCCTATATAGTAGTATAAGTCTGCTGAATAGTCAAGAAGAGTTATAACAACTAACCCCACCCTTTCTATAACCTACCCTTTATTTCCTATGTCTTGTCTCATTGCAGAATATATATATGTGAAAAATTATTTTGTCTTGCATCATTATTTGTATCGTTATATATGTATATTGCTTTTGTATATTTCCGATTTATTAGAATGTGTCAAATCTTTTAACTTTCCTCGGGGCGGGATTAATATAGCAACTAACCCCCAAAGAGTCATTAAATTAATCATAAACATTTCATGCAAGCCAGAAAATATCCTAGTTTGTGACATATTATTCTAGGTCTAGCCTTCCTTGGAGTTACCGTATAGCAGAAATAATTGGTAAATGGATGTAATGTTGCCGTATATTGCTATATCGTAGACCGTCTCAGAACTGCCAATCGCCCGTTCACCCTTCAGCTCCAATGCCCACGTTAATGAAGACTTTAGAAAACTCTGTTTGATTTTATTCTCAGATTTCCACGACACACAGAATACAAATCTTAAAACATTTATCCACACTAGCTTTTTATTGAAATATATCGAGTCGTATTTATACGTTGATCATAAATCCAATTAAATGCTGTGAACGTGAGCTCGTGATTCACGTTATAAACAGAAACTCCTATTATTTCAATAAGGGTAATTATGTACACGTACGGATGGGAACTTAGATATAATTATTTCAATCAGTGCCAAAGGTCTTGAGAATATAAATTTTAATTTGATAATGACTGGGTGGAATATGTTGTGTTCTTAAAACTGGTGTTATTTGATTCCTAAGAAAGTCATTGTTCGAATTTTCAGAAAAATTAACTTTGTTTTGATGATTTCAACATGAAAGGGGTACCTTTGGGGGTTAGTAGCTTTAACCGCACCGTACCTATTTAACAACGTCTTATGAGCTAGTGATCAACTAAAATTGCTATTTATGGTAAGGATATAGGCTACAAGTGTTTAATATCTTACTTATACCGTACTTTTCAACACCTCCTTAGAATAACTGAACTAATAATAAATGAAAAAACTATGGAAAGGCTACTACTCAACGCAAAAGCGAGCAGTAGCAGTACACCTGATATTCATCCGACCACTGGGGATCCACCTACAGCTGACAAATTTGATTGTTACGTCATGCAGAAGTCTGCGTTCATTGGCCCATGATACCGGAAAAGCAGAGAAAATAGGACAGATGGTAACACATATGTAATGTAGTAAAAACGTCTTCTATGTAAAACGTGCAACTTTTGGAAGTGGGAACAAAGGCAATATTTGTTACTAAATTTCTGAGGAACATTTTAAAATCATTTTCAGTTAGTTACCTTATGTGCGCTACGAAACTGAAAGATAAATGGCCTCGGCTCGCGGCCTACAGTAAACCATTTTTCTGTGGTCGAGTGTCGGGGAAGATATTTTTTAAACAGCGATGTCGGCTCTAGGCTTTGTCTGCATCTTTGAGATGCCATATCATTTTTCATCTAAATTTTAACCAGAATACAATTACTACTGAGTGACACTTCGATACCAAAAATTGAATTTGCTATAAAATATACGGTCGTTATTTTTTGAGTTTCCGTTAAAAAAACAATCGGTCCAGAATGTTTTTTATTCCACCTATTATGTAGTCGCGATCCACCAGTTCAGCAGGTGAGAAACACCGCTGTAGACAAGTAGACTACGGTACCGTACCTGTATTCTAGTTCTCTGTCTCGAGTCAGCAGGCATATTAGTAAATTTGGATATTAATTTAGTTTGGTACCGTATTTGCTGGCAGTATAAAATTGTAATGGCCCGCAGTGCAGTAGTAACATAAAAAGAAAAGCTCAGTGAACTAGCGCTCAGCCAGCTGTTTGTTGCCATAGGACTAAATCAGTGCGGTATATCAGTATATTCTAGGATTATCTTCAGATAGAATATTTTCATTCCAGCATGTTCTTAGTACTGTAGACCATAGTTTCCTAAATTTTTTGGGCTGCTGAGGCTGACCCCTGGTTTTGAATTTTATTTTAGACGGACCCCCATCTGCCCATATTACTGAATTAATCTCAGGGCCTAACCAACAAGGACAGAAGGAAGGAAAATGTTTTATGCACTGATTTACATCATAGACCACATTCAGACATTACTGCATTAATGTAAGGGGTGAGGTTGCTTTTCGCACCACAATTCATCGATTCTCGGCGCAATTTGTGACAAGCAAACTGGTAGGTCCGACTCTACGGCAAGTGTTTACCTGTGTTTTGTCATCATATTGGTAAGAGCTGAAAATGCTGCCTCACACATGTACAAATGTAAGTCGCTACAAAAGGCAATAAAATTTTAATCCATTTTCTGACAGCAATGGATATTCGCCCGCACTGCTCAATGGAAATTTGCGATGGACCTTAGTTTGGCTAGGGCAGGGATGGCGAACCTTTTTCAATGAAGGGGTCAAAAATTATATTTTTATCGCGTAACAGAAGAGAGTGGGTCACAGTTACTTAATCAATGTTTGTATCTATAATTATGAAACTTCTGAAACAAATCTTATAAGCTTCTGTTGGTGTTGATGTAGTTTTGAGCTTTACTTATGCAACGCTTCTATCAGGGACTTTATATGGCACTCGATTTCATGAAATTAGAGTACGAAATAACGCATATGAATTACCAAAAACGTTTATGATTATGTGGCAAATTATTTCAAAGAGTTGGAGGGAATTCCACTCTGATAGTGTTATATTTTTTGATCAGCTTTCAGCCACATTAAGACACTTTTACACTGCCCAATTGGTATTTCAGATTCCTAGGTTTTCATTTCAAGTTTGAAATATTTTGTTTTCTCAATGGCATTGTAGGCGAGAAACTAATAAAATGCAAGGTAGCATCTAGTTCTTGTATAACGGTACACAGCGGTGCAGACATTGAACATGCGTCCATTTGAATCCACATTTGAATATGAGCGATCGCAGCCCAACTGACGGTACGTTATAATAGTTTATTAATTGTTGAATTAATTCAAGGCCGGTTTTATAAATTTTTATCACTGATATGTTAGCATTTTTTAAAATTTATTCGTGCCTTGGCGGGTCAGGGATAAAATGTGGTGGGTCACTTTGTGACCCGCGGGTCAGTGGTTCGCCATCCCTGGCTAGGGTAACCCTGCTGTAGACTGATGTTCTCATGAACTAGTATTTGCCGCTTATTTTTTAAAATATAGGATAGTAAGGAATTGTTCACTTTATTTTAAATTGATTTTAATATGTTTTTCTGCGAAATGTTACATGTAAAGGTGAGAGGTCATATTTTCACTTTCTTGTTGATATAAAAGTGTCGAATTGTTTGTGTTTCACAATTGGGAATGGATTCAAGGTTGCCACTCCACAGCTCCACATGTTTTGAATTCGAATGGCACACCATTCCTTGTATTTGCCAAATTGGTGAATGTGGCACTTGGTTGTTTATATTCAGATATTACAATTGTGTATTTGATATTTCAAATTTAATATTTTCAGGGGCTAACTCTGGACAACTTGAGTTTCACCTGATATGATCTTCAGATCTTGTTGTACATTTGAACCTGTCTCAAATGCAATTTTTTTATTCTGATTTAGTATTTATCAAGACAAATAAATAAACCTACATTCATATTTTACTGCTTCAGGCCTCATATTAATCCTAATATCATTGTTGACAAATTTTTATGGTGTGGTTGCAGAGTGAATATAATGGAAGACGCAGACTTGGCAGCAATTCGTAATAAGCGAATGCAGGAACTACAAATGAAGGCTGGTGATCCCAATCAAGCCAAACAGCAAGCAGAAGCAAAACAAAAGTATGATGAGCAACTTAACGGTATGCTTACACAAATTTTGACGCAAGATGCAAGAGCTCGTCTTAACAGTATTGCACTTGTAAAGCCTGAAAAAGCAAAGCAGTTGGAAGGAATGTTAATTAATATGGCCCGGTCTGGACAATTGGGTGAAAAAATGACGGAGCAGCAGTTAGTTAAAGTTCTTGAACAAATTAATGATAAAAAACAGCGAACAAAAGTCAAATTCGAAAGAAGAAGAGTAATGGATTCCGATGATTCAGACTGAATTTTTTTCATAAGCTTGGTCATGTATAAATAAATCTTCAGCCCCACTTAATATCACTATTTGTTGTGGAATTGCTTTAAGAGTTTGACATAGGTACAGAGTTTCTGGCATGACTATTCACTACATAGCACTACACAGGACGAAATTTTTTTTAACTCATAGAATAGTTGCCTTTAGAATATTTTGTATAAAAATTATGATTTTGTATTATTGTTGATTTGATTTATTGGTTCTGATGCCTTTTGTCACAGCTAATGCTTGGAGAAATGTATGACCAGAATGATCTTATTCAAGTATATTGCAAAATCTGACAGTTCAATGTTTGGTTGAATTATAATCAAACCAAGGTATGCGAGATTTCAGTGATAGCTGTCACAGAAAATACACACCATTCTGTTTACAAATATGCTATAGTAACTCTTATTTTGTTTATTATTCCCTTTAAATTTTCCCGATAGAATGCAAAACTAGTTATTAATCTAGGGCTCTATCAAAATGGGAATTTATGAAACAATGTATATTTGAAACAAGAGGCATCAGAATGTTAATTTGTATTTACAATTATTATTTTGGAAAACATTCGAATAAGCTATTTATACAATAACAAGATGGAGACAATGATTTTGAGGAGATATTTTAGTGCTAAATAATATCAGCTGTGTGTTAATTTTTTCATCAAAACTTATTATCCATTTTTATTAGCCTTGATATATTTTTTCACTAAATTAATCTTATTAAGGTAATATCAATGAAAATCTTAGTATGGCTTGGAATTTGTATCAGCTTTGGAAAAGGAGTGGTAGATAATGAGGTTAGATGCTTATTATTATTGAGCTGTAATGTTCAGCTATTAGTTTCTTGTGTTCAAACATATTTATATTTGTATAGGCCCGGTTAAGCAAGTATGAAATTATTTATCAAATTCAAATCATCTTCGGCTTTGGTTATCTGATGAAATGCTTCTGTTTAGTTTTTTAAACATTACAAATTGTGTTTACCAATTCCCATGAATATTTCTCTTTAGGATGTCTGTTCCCTGCAATCATGCTCAGATCCATACCCTCCTAATGGATCATTTGTTGACAATTGCAATTCACATCCTATGCTGAGACTTCAGGGACATTGCTGTGAGAACTTCTCATCTGGACATGTTGTCGGGTGAGCTGCCTTAACTTAATATTGAACATAGGTTTATCACACAGGTTTATGTAAACCTGTTTTGGGGATCTCATAATAATCAGCAAACTTGTTTTCCAGAGTTATAACTTCAGCATGGATTTCTGAAATGACCCGTTGTTAATAGGCTCGATACAGAAGAGAACGCCTGTTCTTAAAATTTTGAATCCCATCTCTGCTTATATTCAATTTGATACGTTGTATTCAATATGTGTATTTTGCTTCTTTGTTTTTGTCATCAGAAGATCGTCATTATCTGCAGTGCCGTATCAGTTTTATTTATATTAATCATTTTTGTTAGTAGACTGTATATTCAGCCAGTGTGCCACAACCTATGAAATAGATATTTTCATCCTTTAAATGTTCTTTATTTTAGTATTGATCTGTCTTTCTGCAAGCTTCGTAACATCAAAACATTGTTTCATCAATATACTGAAGTTACAAAAATGTGAGAGTCACTTTTGTTAATTTAATTTAGAATTTTAGATTGTCCACTTAGTTTGAGATTTGGGTGGTATTTGTATAACTTTGATGTGAATATCAGGTAACTATGGGGTTCAAATATCTTGTATCAATCCAGCACTTTAACAATTTTTTTTTCATGTAACGTTGAGTTACTTCCTCAGACCAGCAGTTCACAACAATGATAGGAAAAGTGTAAACTGCTTGTATTAGGATTGTTGCAAAATAATGTTTATGAAAGTGTGATGCAAGGTGTTTGACCCTCTCAATATTATAGTCATTGTGTTGTGATTAATTTTTGTGAACAATATGCATACATTATTTTATAGTAATCTTACAAACAACCCAGATTTGAAGTTTCAAAATACAAGTTTTCTCGGGCTGAAGAAACTTTGTCAAATGTGAGTAACAGTATGCTTTGCATTCGTGTCGCGACTATGGTGGACCAAAATGGCATAGTGCAGTGGTCCCAACGTTTTCAGTGCTCAGTCAATTAAAACAGTCAACATGTTATGGACAACAGTTTTCTCGATAGACTATAATGACATGCAGTTACCTTGTGCTATTTTGTTATCGTATTATGCATGCAAGGCTCACAACTCTTTTCACCCAGGGTGCAATAAATTAGTTAATAACGAACTGGAAAGAGATTCTGTAGTAGTACCCTTTTGCCTAATAGTACCTGAGCCTCGTTTACAGTGAAAAATCAGGTGGTTTAGTCAAGTTTGTACAGTAGGAAGGTGCCGGTGGCAAGATACCATCTTTCTGTACTGTCACATACAATTGAAAGTGTTTTCTTATTTTAAACCAAATTTTTAACTTACCTGGAATAATTGCATTCAGTGGAGCAAATGAATATGCATTGTTTGGTAATTTCAGATCAGTAGATAAAAATGTGGAATGCAATAGTCAATGGAATTGGTTCAACAGTTCATGGCAAGCTTGGAACAATACTGAAGATGATAAGCATGACAGAAAATGCATCAATCAAACTAATACCTGCAACTTATTGAAGCAGTATCATAATTGTATGTTTTAATTCTTGTTATTAATATGTCCTAGGAAAACTTATAAGCATTGGATTTTACAGTGATCACTGTGAAATCAAAATTACTCGAATTTGTGTGACCATAGCAAATGAAATTCAGTCACTTTGAAAGGGGCCGATTCTTGAAATTGAAATGCAGTAGCCTTAACTTTAATCTTGAGTCTTAAGTAAACAAAACTCCCAAAAAGAACTTGTTTGGATCTTGACGTTGACAACATGATAACTTGAATTTGTATTCTGAAAGCATTCGTTTAACGAAATCACTGGCCTTTTGTTCGCTTATTTTCACTAATCTGCCACCTGGACTCACTGCTCTGGTCCGTTTAAGTTGATAGGACCTAATTGGCAATGTGATATTGGTAACGTTGTCTTCATCTTGCTGCCTAAGTTAGTAAGTAAGTAAAATACTTTATTTTCACATTTTTTTCATTCAGATACATGTCCAGACAATTCAAATTGTATTAACAATGGACCAGGACAATTTTTATGTGATTGCAAGCATGGTTGGGGAGGTTACAAGTGTTTAAGAAAAACTGATTCAGACTTGAAGCTTCCTATTTTAGCTGGAACAGCTGCTGCAACTGTACTTTTATCCTCCATTTTGTGGTACACACAAAGAAGGCATGTGATATAGTCAACTTGAGACGGTCTGAATTTTTATCCCGCAACAACTCAAGGCTGCAAAATGAGCAGAAATATGCTAACACTGTGTATCTCATGGGCAACAGTTAATTCTGAACTGATAATTTGTATGTCAACTTTATAGAGTGTCATACTCAAATTAATAACTGTGCAATATATTTATGGTTTGATTTTTATCATTATTGTGAGCTTCGATTTTTATCGTTATTGTGAGCTTTTTATATAAAAATGTGGTTTTATTGTATCCCTCGAGTATTCCGAGAATCTAGAACAGGGTGGTGCAAGCCCAGGCCGTGGGCCACATGTGGTCCTCCACTTTATTATCTGTGTCCCGCGTCGCATCGGAGGAGCAGTAGAAAAATTCTCAATTTGTGTTGTTTCGTCATAAAATTAAACAGAAAAATCTTTTGACATATTGTCACAGTGTTAAGGCTAGCTGAGGCAACAAGCGAAGTTGAATGTCCTGATTGTCAGTCTGAATTGTTATCTGGCTTTCTACGTTTTGGTCGGGTATGTATGATGACATCATAGAAAACTAAAAATCGAATGTGGTTCTAGTTTGGCTATGCTGATAACTAGATATAATGTTATGGCCTAATATGATTTGCCTGGTGTTTTTGCAACCAGCCTAAACAGTATTACAAAAAATGCTGTCTATATGCCAGAAAATGTAGTAATTACCCTTCTTGATATCACATTTGTTATCAATCTATCTGCAGTTATTTATAAACATGAGTGTTAGAAAACAGAAATTTTTAATTTGATGTGGGAAAATGTCACAATGTTTTCTTGATGTGTCGGTGACAAAAGAATTGAAGTTTAAACGGCATTTTAGAATCTTGTGAGGAATGATCATTTTCCAAAGTTGAGATTTTGCTTTGAAAATTTTATCCATGTTCGAAAGCACCTACATTTGCGAAAGCACTGTTTTCGTCATGAAAAGTTTAAAATATTACAGTTACACTATATGTAGATATATATAGAAAGACTTTTGCTTGCAGGTTTTAGTAGTTTTTGCATGGGTTAGCTTGATAAATACTGATCAATTATTTGCAAGTGTTTGTTTTGCACTGTTTATCCATTCTTGGCACTATTGTGGACCGCGAACATTGCAAAATAATTTTGTGGCCCCCGCAGCCTACAACTTTGGACCACCCCGATCTAGAATATATATAGTACCATAGTGTGCAACTGTTCAACGGTATCTTGTTAGTCTCCTTCGGAAGCTCTAAAAACTATACTGATGCAGTAGCGGCGGTCGGCAACCCCAGCGCACGAACTAAAACACGTTTTTAAGTTTTAAAATATAGGAACAATTACCGTAAATTCGATGAAAAACAACGTGGTTATATTTGAAGTGTTTTATTTTATTGTTTCGCCATTATAATTATTTTTACGCCATTATTGTTCACTCCCATGCCGATATTTGCGTTTTATTCAGTTTTCAACCGTGTTATGTCGGCAGCCAGGAGGTTAAATCAAATGCGAGGCAATCAAGAATCAAGAGTCTAGAGAACAAATTTTGGGGTTGTCTGTCGTAATGACAGAGATGTATGTAGACTCATCTGTAAAAATGTCGTTTCCTTACCTCAAGTATTAAATTCATTTTGTAAACCGAACACAAATAATTATTCGAACATGATTTTGAGATAAATGAATCTCTTAAAAAGGCAGTTTCTCGCTACAAAGTGCAAAGAAGAGCGCCATTGGCAGTCTAAATCAAAATACAAAAGCCGAGCGCGAGAAGTCTTTTATTGATAGTGATTCATTGAAGAAGTATTTATCAATTGTTCCGAAAATTTCTTTGAGGATTTGTTAAATAAAAATTCTCTCAAGGTTTAAAAATTCGCCTTCGTCCGCGCGAACGGCGGAACGACGCGATGAAGATCATTTAACAGATAAACAAGAGTCGTCACAAAGACATGGCGACTGGCGTAAAAATGCGACAGGCTGTTGCGTCGCAGTCTGTCGATATGTCTGTGTTGCTCTTAGCGTGGTTTTTAATAATATATATTCAATGTTTAGCGATCATCGCGCAGTACTGTTCTGACGATGATGTGTTGGGAGAGTTGTGTTGTCCATAGGCGTAGCCAAAGGGGAGTGGTGGGGGCCATGCCCCCATTTTTTATTAGATTTTGAATTTTGCGTCATTTGCAGTATAAGTGAGTAAGGCTAAATGCATGCGCCTTCTCCAACATCATTTTGCTCTATTCTTGGACAATTTACTGGAAACCGGACGTTTCTTGGCTTGCTATCAACACGCTATCCTTTCACTAAATGAACCAAACGAGATGCAGTAGATGAAAATACGCGCTTCTATGCTATGCCTTGGAAAACTTCGACAGGAAACTTCATTGTTGCCTGTTCTGCAACTATTCACCGACAATTTCGTTCTTTTCTTGAGATGGAGAGTGCACATTTGAAATATCTTTTGTACTGCACTTTCATGTGGCGGCATTGCGGCAAAGTTCTTGTAAAGTTTCTTAAATGTCTGGGTGAATAAAGATTTTTCTGTCGAATCAAGGAATACACTAGCCAGAATTGAAGAACTAAAATGGTCTCGGGGAATTATTGTTCCTTACGGATATCACCACGCACTTGAACGATTAAATATTCGTTTGCAAGGTGCTAGTCAAACAATGTTGAATTTTCTCGATGTCTATATTCGGGATGTTCCGTTTATTGTCATTTCAAAAATCTTCGTGTGATCACGAATCTCTTCTGTTATTGCTACTGGCTATATGAGTAAATTGAAGAAACGAATTTGCAGTAGATTTTAAGATTTCGACGTTTTGATGAAGTTTTTTCGTTCCTAAACATACCAGATGGTCACGACGATTTAGATCTGCTATTTGATTGAATGAATGTTCGAGACTTTCGTGTGCAGCTGATTGATTTGCGGTGTATGGTATTGTTGAACCAGCATATTTATATCCTGGATTGCTCCGGACTATCAAAACTGTGAATCGTTCAAAGTTGATATTAAAGTGTTATATATATTAGAGTTTATATATATTTACCACAGATTTAATTGAAAATAGTAGCGCGGAATTTCAGAGAAAATACTTTAACCGTTAATCGGGTAAAATTAACCGGAACCGCAGCGTGACGTTTGACGTGACGTAAAAATTTAGAATTGCTATATCACGATGGTACCAAAGCATTTTCGCAGTTCTGGCCCACTAGAACTGGATCGGTGAAAAGTTAATAGATCCAGATTTCAATATGTGGCGGGAATGGCGCAAAAATATATGGCATCTTTTGTAGTAAGCTCAATTCACTAATGCAAAGATATGAAATTTGATAAAAAACACACCCGTCGCTTTTCTAAAATAAAAATAGTAATTATCCAGTTGGGGTTAGGAATAATTTGAGGAATTTGAATTCGCAGCGTAATCAGTCCCTACCCTAACTGGATGATTAATCATTTCTCTTTATTTAGAGCGGTGACGGGGTGTTTTTGGGGCGGGGGCACGGCGATAAATATTGTAAATTAAAAGCGTTCGTCACTACTTTCCTGAAATGTTAATATGCTAATATCCCTGCGGCAGAATGCACATTGAATAGACGCGTCTTGCAATAAAATCGTGAACATTGTATTGTGACCGAAAACTGATTCTGAACTTATCATTGTCAAATTTTTATAATCAGCAATACGTTAAATTTTCTTGGTGCTTACCAATTAAATTAGTGATATCCTTTACTACAATTGAACGCCACGGAAGATAAATTAGTTATAAACTTATCATTTTTAAAGAAATTGTACATTAGGTGTTCATTTCCTGAGATGTCAGTTAACTGTCAAAAAAATCTTAACAGTTAACCATCTAAAATCGATTAACAGCGCTAGAATAGATTGATCATGGCGTCAAATTGCATTTGTAAACTAACATGGCGCGGGAATCAACGTTTGATTCTAACTTGTTTCAAGCTATTATCATCCAAATTATCTCAATTAATTTGACCTTCTTTGTATACGTACAGAGTTACAAAGCAATTTGCGATGTAGTTGATTCACATAATTCAATAAACCGCCCAGTGGCGACGTTGCTCAACTTGTCATTTGTGCATCTGATTTCTCATTATAATAAGGTAAATCAAACAGTGGCGGCGCGTGGTCATTTTGACAACCGGGGCAAGCTACTGCGGGACCAAGTCACCCCCATCTACGGGGACAGGATGAGCGCTGTAAGTTCTCCCATCATTTTATGAGTATAAAAACCATTCCATCGGTAACAACCAATCGGCAAAAGCGACAATTTTTAACGATAAGAAAGTGTCTTTAAAACCGGTCCAAGTCAAGGGATTAATAAATATAGACATAGTTTATTTTGAAACCTCTTTCAAAAGGAAAGGCAATATTTACCCAGATAAATACAATGACATATTAACAGAAACTTCGGGAAAGCAGACAAAACCTAAAATAAGGTTTAAAACGTTACTATGAAGAAAGGAAAGTTAATGCAAAGATAAGGACATGCGTCGCTCACTCATAGATATATATGCTGCTAGACTTCGCGGTTTCTTGGAAGCAAAATGCTCAACAACGCGCTGATTAAAGTCATGCATCCCAGAAACAACGTCTCTGTGAATGGATAAAACAGCCAAGGAATTTAATCTATCTTGCTTCATTGTGTTTCTGAGATACGTTTTAATACGCTTCAGCGTGCTGAATGTTCGCTCTGCGTCGGCGGAAGAAATAGGCGTCGTCAAAATGATGTCCAGAAATTTTGCGGACGCCGCAAAGGTAGTTACTAGAGTGTTATCTATGAGGAACCCATAGAGCGCGCAAGTTGATGTGATGTTCAAAAAAGTTTGATTGGTGTATATACATCGCAATTAATTTTCCAATTTACCCACGTTTATCATGGGGTAAAATTTGGAGACGGTAGCCAACAAATGGATGGGAAATTGACGTGCAAATTTTGAAAATTTTTGGGGTTCATCGAAGAGAACGCGGCAAGGTGTTCAGTGCGCAAACGATCGCCTATTTGATTCACCAGAATGTCACAGCATTCCTTTGCAGACAAAATCAAACGCTGCGTTGTTTGCCCGCGGCGTAAAGAAGCACTCCATGTGTCGTCGTATTTTATTGTTTCCCGGATACGAGATACAGCATCGCAGAAGTCTGAAATACACGACTGCACAGACGCTCCATCCATTAGCCTTGACTGCAATGCGCCGTATAATACATCCACGTGATAGAATATTGTGGAGAAAAAGCGAGAAAAAAATGAAAACTCACCATCTTCTAGCAGACGCTTTAGACCTGCCGCCTCCCTCACAGAGCGTTCGTCCCAAACCGGAGAGCTCTGAATGCCATTGAAACACTCAATGAGCTCAGACCTAATTTCGGACACGCCCTGCACCACGCGTGATTGGAACCTCCAACGTGTTGGTGCACAAGCTGGAGACGGCGGCTACATATCTGGCGAAGGAGGTCAGAGCGCTTCGCCGAAACGGAAAAAAATGAAGAAAACCCCGAAACATTTGCAAAAAATATACGGACGAGAGGGGTATCAAGACACATATTTTTAATAACGAGGTTAAATTGGTGTGCATAACAATGTAAAAAATGCGCATGAGGAAAATCTTCTTTTATATAAACTTGAACACCATGTTTCGACCCACTCATGACTGCCGCGCCGTCATAAGTTTGAGCTATCAATTTTGACTTCGCGTTGTAAGGCTGTAACACTTCTTTCAGTACAGCCGATATCCCGCAAGCCGTGCGATCAACGATTGGTACAAAGCTGTGAAATCTCTCGGTAGGTTTACCATCTTTCACAAACCTAAAAATCACAGCCAGTTGGGAAACGCACGTGATGTCAGTTGTCTCGTCAGACTGAATCGAAAGGAACTGGCAATTCTCAATTTCCAGAGCCAAATGTTGTAAATAAATTTTATACATTGAGTCGAGCAAATCATTTTGGATATCCTTAGATGTCCCTTTCGAAACAGTTGCGGCATCAAGATGATCTCTCAATACTGTATCTAGGGATGCGGTGTATTTCACCATATCCAAAAATACCCCTCTATTAGAAGAGCCAGCCCGTTCATCGTGCCCACGGAGGAACAGCTCGTGACAACCAATGAACTTCAAAACATCTATCAATCGACCGAGAACATGGCGGTTTTTCTCGACGTTTTGGTTGTGCCGACGAATAGAAACCGCGCGTCCTTCATCCAACTGTGCTGCAATATTAACATTTCCGAATGTTCGGTATTTTACTGCATTGTCCAGATGCTCCATAGAAGATTGATGTTCCCTGGCACGCTCGGAAAGATGTTTAAGATCTCTAAAACCAAATTTACACCAACGTGAGTCACGGGCGGTAGCAAAAAGTAGGCAATAAAAACAAAAAAGTGCATTTTTGTCCTCGCTGTAACACAACCATTCGTGTTTTTTATACCAAGTTTCTGCGCAGAATGTACGCCGACGCTTTCCTCCGTCATGGGATTGTTCCAGTGAACAATTTTTTGGTAGATAAGGCCCAAGACGTTGTACCTCTAATTTTTGTTCCAGCGGCAGCTGCGAAAACGGAGTGCGAAGTAGTGCATCAACCTTATTTATTATAAGGTCTAAGGCTAAGAAATGCGAAGCCGGAAAGAAGTGAGGAGCTCAAAAGGAATGTGGAAAATCGAAAGCAAATGGACTAAAGGTCTCTAACTGATTCAAATAGCGAAACAAGCGACAAAAACGAAGGCGAGGAAACTATCAACTCTTCAAGCAACCAACGAACGAGAAGGAATGCGTGAATATGTCAACACTTTGTTGTAAGAAACGTCGGCATTGTGTCGTCATAATTTCCGGGCTAGCCCCGATGATTTAGTAAAAGAAACAGAAAACAAACGAGACAAACGCGGCGAGTGGAAGACAAAAGAGAGAATACGATATACAATGAGCAACCGGGGCAAAATCGGCGTCGCCCCGTCGACGTTCGGCGAAGGCTTTGCGAGCGAAAAATGAACCATGTCGGGAGAATATGGCTAGTGTAGACAGTCTGTGCAACCGATATTGAGGTATTTTTCGAATATTTTTTATTATACCGAAAAAATGCCCCGGTTGGCTCTATTGACGCGCCGCCACTGAAATCAAATATGTATAATATGGTCTTTCATACAGACAGTTGCGCAAGGAGGGTGGGTTGGTGTGGTAACAGAGGTAAAGGTGGAGTATACAAAACTGTTTGTACAAAGGAGTTTGTATAACCCGCGAAAGTCCTTCAGCTTCAAATTTTGGCCTGCAGTCAACCAATTTGGGGAACCCCTGGTTTAAGTTAACCAAACAAAAATTGAAACGCATAAAAAGTTACTTACATGCACCATGAGAAATACTTCTTCAAAAGTGACAAGAATTTATTGTCGCCAAGTTGAAAAAATCTATAGATGCTGCCTTTCAGGACTGAGACTTAGGTAATGGAGCAAGTAATCATGTTTTTATGTTAAGAGTACGACACCTTCCGTAGTGCATCAACATACTGGCAATCTGTTAGCAACTCAACCCAACACACATAGTTTCTAAAATATTTATATTTCAAGTACAGAAATTGGACCCAATAGTTTCATGGTAGCACCTTTGCTAATGCTAAAATAATTTCAATTGTGCATCATACTTATATGATTAAGACTTAAAACATTATGGCTTCTCACAATCTGTGCAAAATTGTAAATCAGGTAGTAATAAGCAAGACCAAACTTGCAATTTTCTTTCAATTCGAGAATAGCTGACATGCAAAACTCAGCACACCACAGGCTAGTTCGCTTAAATTTGACTTTGACTTTCCATGAAGTATTCATTCAAATCAGCTGTCTTAATTGATAACATATAATATAGCCTGATTAAATTTAACGAATCATATAGGGTTTAGAATATAAATGTAAAACAAATAAATCACCCAATAAACAGATAAAAAGTATTAGTAGTAATACTGGAAAACAGTGCTGTAAAATTATTTAAAACTTGTATCGCAACATACAGAACGAGATTAATAGGCTACCATAGGTAATAGAAATGTGCATAAAATTGTTAAAGAAATACGCACCAAGGTATATAGAGATTAAACATTAATTTGCTGTGCATTATCATAGCAAAATTTTTCAACGAAAATAAAATTTACATTGGCAAATGAGACGAGAAACAAAAGGATGTATCAAATTATCCAGATGGAATGACAAGTTGGAGCTGCCTTAATAAGCAATACAAGGTTCTTAATACATGTGGTTTAAATTGAAGAGAAATGTATCCATTCAATTTCTTTGCTCCTAAGCTTGCAGGAAATATTCAAAAGCCTAATTATAGTAAAGTTCAACAACAACATAATGATGAGTGTGGATAGGTAATTTGGTCCATTGAAATCATAAGTTTGTAACAATGTGAAAAAAGAAAAACCCAGGAATATAAAGATAACATAGTTGTCTAAAGGATTATATGTTACCATTTCACTTCATTGTAGTCATATTACTCAAAATGGAAGTACCACGGGCATCCTGACAAAATATATCACAGGGTCAAAAATTTTTTAAAATAGAATCTTCTAACAAAAAATGATAGCAGAATGTGATCCTAAAAAAATAAGCAAGGCGGAACAATCATCTTCATAGATGCATAATATACTCTTGCAGACAGGTCATTCTTCTCATCTATTCTCTATATCAAAGTGCAGTTGGAAAAAAATGCTGACTTCTTTTTCCCAACCCTTGACTTATTCGGTTGTAAGGTGATGGTATCGTTTCTACCTGCATTAGCCCCGTTGTTATTATTTGAAACTGATTTGTTGGCAGATCCACCCGCAGTGTTGAAAACACCTGATAGAAATATAATATATAGTTGTTTAACACTAGCAGATTGTCTTAACTAGATTTTGGAACTAAAGAGTAGCACAGCAGTAATTTTACAAACTAAGCATGCCTCAGTAGTCACAAATTTTGCTGTAAAATTTAGATCCAGACTGGCACAGAATAATTTGAAGAGGTTGTGGCAATTGCTGGTTTTTCCATAAAATGGCCTTTTTCAGCCTTGCCAAAATCAAGTAAAATTATTTTAGTCTGAGGTCTGGTTCCTGACATGCTTAATATGAGAGTAAGAAGATCAGAATTCCATATTCATGTTATATCTATTTTGTCATCCTGAAGTCAGTTTTACAAATGTGTTAGACTTGATACAATGATTTTAGATTACAAGGAATTATGATAGAAATTGATATTATGTTGTATAAGCTGATATTATTTAAGAACATACTGAAGCCATTCTTGCAAAAACGTTCATTTATGAAAATCAGTTTGCCGATTTCATTTAATCAATTTTCCCAGACATTTATATAGCAGCAATACATCTAGCCATGTCCCAAGCAGTTCAGTGACTTCTCTACTTTAAGATAAAGATCACCAATCCTGCCTAGAGCTAACAAGACGTTCACAAGAATCCAATGTTAAACCCAGATAAGCAATCGTCTCACCAATTTGCCTTGTAGGCTGTATTTCATCGGTTTCCCTTTGAGCTTCCTTGCGAATTTTCTTCAAGTGTTGTTGCGCAAGATAATCAAAAACTGAAATACAATCAAACAAAAATTTTCATAAAATATTGAATTAAATATTATTATGCATTTCTACTGATACAGAACTTTTATTTGCTATATATTTTTGCGATTGAACAGTATCCACAGAATGTTACACCCTTACAACCTATATTAATGTACATTAAACTCATGGCATCATACACAGAGAAAAAGCATAATTCATCTTGAAGGTTGGGACATCATGCCAAGCATAGGAAACAAACTTAAATATTACCAATACCAAGTCATCTTATTATAAATATGAAAATCCTATTTTAAGATATCTTACTTTAATAAACAGTTAAAATCAATTCTAATTGAAATACAAACAAATGTTCCCAAACAGGATCAATGATGTTGCTGTACAAAACAGAAATGTATTCGACACCTACCTTCATTAATATTTAAATCTTCTTTAACTGAAGTTCTGTAAAATCTCAATTTTAATCTCTTGGCTAGACTTTCAACATCATCTCTGGAATATAAAACATACTCATAAATGAAAGTTACCCAATTCTGACGTGTTATACCGTAATGATTCATGAATATGATTTTTATTTAGCAAATTAACTTTGACCACTCTACAAGGTGAAAAATTCCCTCTACACTATGAATGAACCGACTCAAGTACATTATTGATGATCTTGAATGATAAGAGGAAGAAAGAATTCCAATATTTCATAAACAAGAGTAAACTCGGGAAAAAATTGATGAATTTTACCATTTCAAACTTTCATGTGTAATAAAAAAAACCTTGAATAATACATGTTTCAAAACCGTGATTCATTGGGTTTTTTCGTGATAAAACTGGTAAGATATTCATGAAATAAATCCCTCTAAGTAGAGACTGCCGACTAAATGAAATACAAGTTACGGAATAAATTTTGCAAATATTCAATCAGGTGGTTAGGTCAATTTTATTTCACAAAAGTAATCTCTGAATTCATGAAAACTGGTAAAGTGGAAATGATTGAAATTCCTATATACCAGAGTGAATTCAACAAAATAAATGATATATACCCAATACTGTGTGAACAATTCAATATTTCACGAATAGATTCTGACGACTAATCCTAGTATTATATTAATATCAGTTATTGGACGATTAAAATAACAACAATTACAACACATATTTTTAGCATCAAAACAAAGAATGCCTCTTACTCTTGGGCTTTGGATTATAGAATTTTACAATTGGTGTTACAATCATTATGTGGTTTTATCTTATTAATATTAAGATATTTTATACATCATTATTGATTTGTATAGGTGAATCTTGAATGTTTATACAAAATTCATCCTCACATACTTGAAATTGGTATGTTGCAGATTAGGCCAACTATAGATTACAATATTTAACAATATTAGTTCCGAAATTAATTCTGCATTTAAGTTCAAAAGAGAATATTTTAACTTAAGTCTTTTCCCAATGGGAACCGATAATGGTCCATATTGATTTTGACACCAATCAGACAAAAAATTTTTGTCAAATAGTTCCTTCCAAAATAACTTACAAAAAAGAGCTGATTAAAAGCGATAGAACTATACACTCACTGTTCGACAACTGCATCATCAATAAGATCAATTTTGTTTTGAATAAGACACGTAGGAATGTTTGGACCAACTTCCTCTTCAACCTTCCGTTTCCAATTTTCAATTGCTTCAAATGAATCTCGGTCGGTTGTGGAAAAGGCAAGAACGCATCCTTGGGCACCTGAAAATAATTTATAACAGTTCAGATAACAATATAAAGTTACGCAATATTCTTCAGGATCTAAACATGATCATGTATGTAACTGTGTTGTACCAAAGTTAGATTGTTGTTGCTTGAAAAGAATGAATAAATACCCATACAGACGTCAGCGCAACCGCAAGATTACAAAAAATTATAATTGAGTGAAGATGATGATAAAAATGACAGGCCAAATCTTCATATAATCTATTGAATAGCCTAGAAATCGTACTGAACCATTTAACAAAAGGATATAAAAATGTATCATTCGCATGTTTTCTTCTCGCTTCAAGACCCACTCAAATCACACAATGAAAATAATAAATAATAAGTACAAAATACAGTTCTTGAGCAGATTGCTTTATCATATAACAATTGGGCTTCAAAGATAAATTTTTATTTAAGATATAATTTCTTTATTAATATTCCAAACAATAATTGTTAGCTTTCTGACAGAATTGGACCACAATTTTTCTACAAATTCATTTGAATATGAAAGTGGTAAATGAGATAATGGGAGTATTTCACAACAGATTCATCTTTACGGAGTCTATTTCCAAGATAAATAAAGGAATAACAAATGATATATGGAAAACACAAATAATACGAGTGTTTGTGATATTCTTTAATCCTCTAGTTTTTTTATCAGTAGATATATAGTATTACCAAATTACTAAAAAGCAGCCAGGTGTAGAATCTCAACACCATAAATAGTTAATAAATGTGGCCTGCTGGCGATGTGAATAATGAATGGGTTGTGAAACCTGCCTGGGATACCGAGAGAAAGAAAATACCTATACAGAAACAAAAGCACTGATTATGATTAGATTTTAAAATATTAATGTAGTGTTCGAAAGTTAAATAAAAATACTTCCTGCTGTGCTGCAGATTGTTATGCTGATAAAATATTTAGTGAGATAAGGTAAGTGAAACCATGTAATTTTGAAAGTATATGCACATAAACAGCCAGGTACACTACACAACAGACCTAGTGGTTGTTTTTAGATGGACATGAATAAAAAATCAATTTCACTATTGTCCACTATATTCATAAGTTTACGAAAGGGACTCCTATGAGAGAAGGGTATTTTGATAAGCTATTTAACATGAAGCAGTTTATTTTTGTAGAGGAAGTAACATACACATCCCCATGGCTTTGGTGCTTTTAATTACCGGCAGTTCTTAGTAGTTGAAGACTCATAATCATAACAATATTTTATCTTTTCAATTCATGAAAAACTTTATCATTAGCCATAAAAAGACTTCCAATATTTATTCAATAGGCCTAATGATCATATTAGTTTAAAAAACACTTATTCAGCTTTCAAGCTTTATTATTAATGGAATTATTTTGTCCAACTTTGTGCGTTAGCTAAAGTGATGAGCTTAAAATGAAAATATATTAATTATTCTGAAATAAATAACAAATCAAATACAATCCTAAACCATTCAACCCAGATTCAAAATAATGAAGCATCAATTAACCTATATATTTGTTCATCATAAAATGTGGCTAGACCAAGCAATAAAAACGAACTACCAATCAGCTTTGGCCACTTTTGGAATAACAAAGTTGATAACATCAACATCCAAAACTCCACATAATCAAATCAGCAAATGATATGCAACATACCTCTGTAATAGGCTTTGGTTAAAGCGTCAAATTCCTCTTGTCCTGCTGTATCCCACAGCATTAGAAGAACATCTTCGCCATCTAAACTAGAGTTAGAAAAAAGGGGGGTTGTTTCGTATTATGATAAAGATGAAGCATTCACTCAAATTCTACAATATCTTTGTGTTCAAATATTGATTGTAGAAAATTTGAAATAATACCCGTTTTTATGAAATAGAATACCACAGGTTTCAATAATGTAAATACATTATCCTATATCTTAATAAGTACCGGTAGATTCAAATTGACTTAATTGTATTTTAAATGACCTTATAAATTGAACTTGACAATTTTGAGTAATTGATGCATTGGGTTGTACAACTATGTATAAGCTATCAACAAACAACCCATAATCAGCATCTTCACATTGAAAAAGATCAATTGTGGGAATAACGTTGCTTTAATAAAATTATTAGAATCCTCAAACTAAGTGTTAATAATCTTCAATATCTGTCATAAACAGATTATTAATGCACTAACTTCCTTTATGAAGCTCCTAGTATTGTCAGTAACAGGCCAAATTCACTAATCATGTATTAATAAAGGATTATCTCTGAATATTTTCAAGTAATCCTATTAATTAGTCTTTTCATTTTGATGGCAGCTCAGCAAGACAAATACAAGTTACATAATATAGAGGCATTGACAGACAAATTTGAACTACCATAACTTTCCTTATAAAGGGAAACATTAACATTGGATAACAGAAGTATTAATTTACATTATATAAGATTAAAACTCAGGCCTTCATTTTTTTACTGCCGGAGTCAGCCTGACCAGAAATAAAACAGCTTAACAGCGTATGAAATAATATATCAAAAATGGTGGTATACATTGAAGATTTAATGTATTAAATCCAGATTTAAAATAACATTAGGTAAATATTCAGGAATGCATCAATATCAACGAAAAAAATAGCTGAAACATAATTTCAATAGTTAATACTTCTAGTGATATCTAAGGATTGTTACATAGATTTTTGCATTTCTACAATTTCACATTATTACTTGATCCAATAAGGCAGATTTTCTGTAGAATGCTATAATTTTCATGATATAAATTCTCAACATATTTGAACATAAATAATTTAGAACATTGCTTAAAATAAATATATTTAGACACCTTGAATGAATATCCATAAAAACAAACATACTTTATTCTTTTTTCAAGGAAGTCTACTCCGATAGTCTTTTTATAATCTTTTGTAAATATATTTTTACAATAACGTTGAATCATGCTTGATTTTCCAACAGCTCCATTGCCCACAATAACAATCTTGATTGCAATCTCAAGATCTTCTTCCAACATGATTATAACTTTAGGAAGACAATTGAAAATTGCTTGATTATTTTATATTCCAATGATTGACATTCTATTTTTGATTTATGTAGAAATTTAACTGGCTGCGTAGCACTGCAAATTTTCAAAAAGATATGCCATTGTAAAATAAACAGTCAAGAAATACGATCTGTACATATGGCACTTCACTTCATCAAACAGCAATCAAAATATACGAATATCTTTACTTTACACTCTTAGAGGAGCCTGGATCTGGGACAAATACAGAAATAGGTATCGGCATCGCCTACTAGAACAGTATAGACTAGTCAGCAAGCAGTGGAGTGCTCAGGAATATTTGATACCAATTATTATATTGCATCTGTGATTGACCCATCTTTCAGTCTTAGGATTAACTTAGCACAGTTAGACAGTAGCAGTATTGCTGTCTTGTGTTCAAATTTAGTGTCAGAGTGTTCCGGTGTTGGCTATCCTGCAATATTGTGTCTATTTGCATGACTAAACTGTGGGAAAAACATTTGTACCGTACATAGAGATCATTGTAGCCCACCAATCTATTCCTACAATTCTACAGACATAGCCTAACCGCCGTATGGTATGGCTACAGCCGCATTCGTTTTGCGTTAACGTATAGCTGCATGGCCGTATCTAAATAATATATTTTCCCAATTCTAAATATAATCTAATACACAACATTTCAACACATTAATGCAATGATGCTACGGGAGTAGGCTACTCCGATAGTAGACTTACACAAGTACCGGTACATTGACTGATTGAGAACAGCCCCGAGTGATAACGACGAATAACAAGGTAGAAGGACAACGTCCTCGCCAATGGAAACGTCGGTGAAGAGAAAGGCACTGTAAAACTCTTGGAGCAATGTAGCCCACTAGCGACTTAGCATCTGGACTCGATGTTAGGGATGGGCCGGGACTCAGATTTGAGTCGAATCCAGGCATATTTTGGACTCTGATTTGATTTCGAGTCCACGTCGTTTCTACCGAGTCTATGATCAATTCTGTTTTTACTAATTTACGCCTATGTTTGTACTTTTACTCCTAAAAATCTCACCACATACCTTAACTAGTTGAAATTCAAGGTTAGATATGTAACAATATCACTCGTGTGTATTATAAACATTCCTAATAAAAACAACGACAGATATCCAGATAATATAACGCAAGTTGAAACTATTGATAGCTTATAACAATGATGCGCCAGTAGCCTTCAAACTATCTATCTTTTTGGTTTACATGTGGTACACAATAAAGTATGTGTTAGCGCAATATTTTTGGGTTTTCGAATCGCGTAAATAAGGGAATCTCATCAATACCTCTTTTAAATTGAGTTTATTACGTCCTTTCTCTAAAAAGGGAGCAATGAAAAGCATGGAGCGTTTTAGAACGTTTACATGAACTACTAAATTGCAAGCATTGTATTGTATCTCTACCATTTGCGCACGCGACATAGCAAATTTGAGGCTAGGAATATCTGGAATTATGGGAAGGCATTGTAGACAAAAGCTTTTTATTTTTCTTATTGACATGTAAGAATTTCTAAATAGCCGCCCAGAATTGACGCAAAGTGGTGGACTGGAAATCCAGTTCACAGCCAAGGCGCACATTGACCCACGTTAACGTTTGTATAATGGCCGCCAGAAGAGAAGAATAAAATATTTTTAAATTGATTCAACAGCTATCTGCGGAATCATTAGGGAAAAATATGAGCTACGACGTATGCTTGTGAGCGCGCGATGCTGTAGTGTGGTCAAAAACGTGTTTTTCTACTTTTACATTGTGACGTCAAGGACTCGGAGGATTCGATTCGAGTCCTTGACCTATTACTCGGATTTGTCGAATCTCTGTAATGCCGGACTCGTCCCACCCCTACTCGATGTGTACCACTGAACTGCAGTATATAACGGTATATATCAGGAGTGGGCAAATTTTTTTTAGTATAAGAGCCGCGAGCAGCAAGTCAGAAATATGCGAAAGCTGCATAATTTTTGAAATCATGAATATATATATATATTAGAACTCATTAAATCAGTCACAGTATTGGTAGCACGAGCAATTTTTCATGATGTAACAAAACTGGCTTCAATTGATGCATCGGGTTCATTTCCAAATAATATCATTAATTTCTGTTGTCTTTTTAGTATTTATTTAAAGTAATTTAATCTGTGTTTCTTTACAGCTGATTTACGAGGGTAGTCTCGTACAATGTTTTTGTGATTCGTTTTTTGGTGCCGTTCAACATTGCTAACTTTATTATTATTTGGCAGACTATGAGAGAATGATCACGATGGTTTATTTTCTTGATTAGTGAATGCGTATTCCTCCTCCCATTCTGTTCTCATCTTTGTATTTTCGCATTTTACTTAAGGACATATCGCACTGCAACTGCAATCAAGCTACAATGACGCCAACGCAGCAACATACATTTGACCAATTTCCATTGTAACGTAAGATTTCTCCCTTAACTGATTTGAAATTCCACGCCACAAGAACGATTTTTATACTGGAACATAATTTGTATATATTAATCATTGATGGAAACTTCTTCTAACGCTTTTAATGAATTAAAAAAAAAACTGTTACACTACAGTTTCTCTTAAGTTAAATTTGGATGACAATAAATTCTAGCAGAAGAGCCGAATAAAAAGTCTGGCGAGCCGCGGTTTGCCCACCGTTGCTATATATTCTTGTAGGAACAACAGGAAGTCTACATGCTATACAGCTGCATGCAACTCATTTTGTACTCCCAACATTTCATTGCTTCTCCAACGTATGGAGGGCTCCAAATATACCATATTAGACCAAACATCTGTCAGAGCCCCGCCTCCCTCCGCTTAAATGTAAAATAAAAGTCTTCTATATTCATTTTCTATATCATATATATAAATTATTCGCAGCCTGAAACACTTTTTAGAGTCAGACCATCTGGACTATTGAAAACCCACATTAGCCGGCTTCCGCTCAAACCTTCTAGGCCAGGGGTTTTGTTGTAAATTCTCAACTAAAACCATCCCATATATGCCCCACCCCATATGCCCCTGACCCTAAATATTGAATGAACCACCAAACGATTTTCAGTTTAAAAGATGCATATTTTTCAGGTTGCGGGGCTGAGAATCCATCGGTGCTCCAGTTCACATATGATGAGAAGTTGATTGAAAAGCAGCGATCACTCAAAGAAATATTTGGCATTGTGCATGTGATAGAACCTAAATTGCCTCTTTACTCCCACTAAGAACCACTCCCAAAGCCTCAAAAAACATTAATACCACTATTAACATTACTCCATATTCAATGTTTAATCACCTTAATAATTAAAATAATAATTTGTATTTCTATGGATTATTGAGAAAAAAACTTGAGTACTCCAGAAGTACGTGTACTAAGATGCGGACAATGGAACACCGTATGTGTACCAAGTTAAATTTAGGTCATAATTTTAGGTACAAATACTACAAAACTCACTTGAATAGTCCCCGAACTTGTAATAGAACGGAGATAAGAAAAATTGGAAATGGCCTAACCCTAACGTGGTATACACACTACGTTCCTGTGTCCTCAATTCTTAGTACGCATACTTCAGGAGTACAGAAACTTGACTGTAATCTTAATACATATATCTAACATATATCTTAATCTTCGTTTTAGCTGCTGTTTTTCTTTAATTGTTTTCGTATTCCACGAATCTTAGTTATTGTCTATCTTGTTGTTATTATTTTGGCTGCAGTACTTTGCTTATACATTTGCTCTAATTTTTTGAATACTTTTTCAAGTAGTGTTGTTACATCTTGACATTAGTTACATTGATTAATACATTGAGGTATTCGCTCATGAATGATTTGAAAATGTTTTTCTTCTTGATCAGGTATCGGATCACGGATGTTCAATGATGTGATGATGGAAATAAATTTCAGCTGCTTGCATGTATTAAGATAGCCATTCCAATGTTCCCCATAAGCATGTTTTGTTGTGATATCTTTTCTTTCTGTCACTTTCGTAAGGTTAATTAGGAGTTTATGACTAGCTGAAATTCCTTCACTGTGATAAATTTTTCTAATAACGTATCCTGCTATGTAATCTAAAATTTCGATTTCTTTGACTGTGAGATTGGTGGTTATTACGCTTTTAGATTTAGTATTATAGGCAGTGCTGCCATCGATATGAACCCCAAAATAAGGACAGAGAAACATAGTAATAAGATAACAATGAATGAAATAAACAGCATGTAATCATGCAGTGCGACCCTTGTATAATCACTGACTCTTGGTTTGATTCAATTTCTTGAGCAGAGTCCTTGTGCTTCTGCCTTCTGGGTTGCATTGTGAGCAGAAATTGCTGCTTTACCTATGGATTCCAGGGATTCATTCATAAAGACACATGTCACTTAAAAATAAGGACAAAAATATTTTCCAAGACAAAGGCCTTCAAAATGCACAAATCTTAAAAATAAGGACGTTAAGGCAGCACTGATTATAGGTCAAGTGAAAAAAAAAATCTTCAGTAAAAGGTACAATACCTGAGATAGAGTGAGACCAAAACGCTATGCTAAGTTTTTTTTTTAATTTTTTATATAAGGTGCAAAGTATTCATTTTCGTCACCACTTTACCTACATCCTACTGACATTTTTTTGCAATGCATCGCATTTTTGATGCCTTGCTTTCTTTCGACAAGGAAGTTGTCACATCATTCTGGTAATTTACAAGACAGACTGTGTCTTCATTTTCACAATTATTTCTTTATTTTTATCAAATCTCCACGTCCTTCAGCAAATATTTCGATCAGCTACAACGAACAGGGGAGTTTGCGAGCTCTGATTCAGGAGCGTCGTCGTCGTTAAGCACCTTGTCTGAACCTACCAACCGTGTCGCCCGCCACTCGGAAGCGCGACATCGCCTTTGTTTGTTTATTATACGGCGAGCGGAGTTGGACATCTAGTAGTAGTATATATTTGCGATTAATCACATCAACTATGGACCACACTTTTAAAAGCCACGACTGTTTGCGATGATGACACATGTATAACACTACGATTATGCTTACAAAGGATTATAATGGTCTCATTGTGATCCTCATATAAGCATATTGTGTAAAATTCGAACAACCGTAATATATGGATGTTAACCAGTAGCCTATAGTAAGTTCGTCTCACCCCCAACACTGACGTCGTTTGCAAGTTTTGTGAGGATAACCTGCAACTGGCTGCTTGACTGGCTCAAATTCGTTTTGAGTTTTTTCACTGAGAACTTTGAAATCAGCAGATCTAACACGCCTGACCATTAAGTCACCTTGTGCGCCTATACCTGAATGGCCTATAATGACGAAGAAACATCTGAACATGAATATACGACATGGCGTCTCTTGCCTCAATGACTGAGCTGAAAATCACAATATCTTTAACTCATAAACATTGATGAACAAGCGTCCATGACAATAAAGACCAACTAACTCAAAAATAAACATCAATTCAGTGCTTTTATCATATATACATAAGTGTAAAGCTAATCAGATTGAATGATACATTGCATACAAAAATGGCAAAATAAAAGAATATGATCAAAAATGAAAAATTTTAAGATATATATACGTATTTGATTGTCGCTATATGATTATACATGCGTATTTTTGATGAATAATACTGTAACCGTGCCGATCATCTGCTGTGTTTTTTTGTATATTCAAATGAAATAAAATTCTCAGGCGTACGAGTCCGATATTTCCCCCAAAATCTTTGCTGTATTATATATATTCAGACTGGGAATAGGTTGCTGATATTTGAATTTTGTGTGCATATAGTTTAGCTTTGCGCTGGTGTTATGCATCGCGTGATAGAAATGTTTAATTTTTTGAGAAATTGATTTACGGTGTTGGTTTAAATGGACAAGCGCCAAAGACCAATTGTTTTGAACTTTTCGATGTATATTTAAATGTGAAGACTACTGATGTTGTGGCCATTAAAACAAGTATATAAAATAATGGATAAAGAAATGGACTCCAACAAAAAGAACAAATATTAATTCCAACTCAAACAACTTAGAATACAAGATTCTGAATGTTATCCAAGCAAAAGTAGGATTCTAATTCGGCGGAGAATGAGTTTCCCTTTGCTGTTGGTAAAAATTGTAAATCTTGGATTTCGTCTATGACGTCACAATAAAACAAATTGGTGCTTTGAAATTTCTTTTACGAAATTTTGAAAATATGGTTTCGAGTAATGTGGCGAATGCCGCCATCGCCATCTAATGTAACGCCGCAAATGGGCAAATGGACAAGAAGAGAGGGAAACGAGCAATCGAATTCGTGAAAAGGTGAGACTAATTTTTAACCTTTCAATGAAGGTTAGTGGGTATTACTTTAATATAGCCTTGGAAAAGATATTCAATTTTTTACGATAGAAAATAAAACTAATTAATTCTAGATGATAATTTCGCCCTTTCGTCTCGTTACCAGTGGGAGTTGGATCTTACAATATGCCGAGTCCGTCGACTTTAAACAACTTAAAATAACCTGTTTAATAAAACTCACCGATTTTAGATGAAAATATTCACTATGTATCACCGTATATAGTCTTATGGCCGTGCAGAATGAATTAAATATGCATTTGGGTTTTAGTATGCCACCGTCAAAACGTGCCAAAATGTCACCAAGTCAAAAATGTCCACAAAAGTCAAGTGGTGGTAGCGCAGGGAGAGCGAAAAAGGCCGAAGAAGAATGCTTTAGAAACAACATGTATAAAGTTTTAAAAGAGATTTATGATGACACTGGAATAACGAAACAAGCTATGAATATTATGAACAGTCTGGTAAATGAGTTGTTTATTGCAATCGCCACGGAAGCCAAAAGAATAATGGAGTCTGGAAACCGGACAACAATGACAGCAAGAGATATCCAGAACGCCGTCAAAAGTATTTTACCAGGCGAACTTGAGAAGCATGCCGTGTCAGAAGGAACGAAAGCGGTTGCCAAATTCAAATCGTATACATTCTCTTGATGGTGTGATTATTTGTCAATAAATTGATTTATTAATGACATTTTATCTCTTTTGATAGTCTCCATCTCCTTTTAATAGTCTCTAATAGTCTGATACTGCTACCGTGTTCCCCCGAAAATAAGACCTAGCCTGAATTTTGAAAATGATTTTATGTAAGCCTTCTCCTTAAAATAATACCAGTCGAAAGCGCGAATTTTTTCAGGGTCCTAGTCGATGGCAAGAACTCTCTCCTACGATTACGCTCTATATGATTAATCTAAAACGTGTGAAAGAGGGAAAAGGTTCAATTACCCGAGGTAACGTGAGGATCACGCCACGATTCATATTTCGTATATATATTTGAAAATTCGATCTCTATTTATAATTTTATTTTTGAAAATGAAAATAAAAGACATCCCCCAAAATAAGCCCTAGTGTTATTTTTTGAAGAAAAATTGAAATAAGCCTCTGTCTTATATATTTGGGGAAACACGGTTCTACTGTTTTATTTTTTTTTAATTTCGCGCTTATTAACGGCGGTCCAAATTCTCTGTATAGCAAAACTGCCATATTGTAAATAGATGACATTTAGTCAATTAAATTGATTTATACAAAATTTCAGATTCAGTTATAACATTAGGCACAAATAGTCAAATTTCATATATTAACAAAGAAAATTCTTCTAGAATATATAATATATATAAAGCTAATTCATGGATAGAAATAATGCCACTATGACTACTAATGTCTGTAACAAGGTGGAGAGTATTTCCTGTGGTAAATTATGACGAAAACACTCTCCACCTTATTACAGCTTTTAAACCGATCGTGGGCCGAAGGGTGCGTGGCAGGATTCGATTATGGTAGCTATACTCAAATCAGGGAAGAAGGACAACCCTCTGTCATTTTATCGCCCTATACATCTTACGAGTAATCTTTGTAAGGTTATTGGGACGGATGGTGACCAACAAATTGAAATGGTTTCTTGAGAGGCTTAATATTATTCACGAAACACAATCTGGTTTCAGGTCGAATAGATCAACAATATTATCACAATATTATCAGTCTGCACGTTGATATATACAAGGCTTATTCAAGCAACGACAGTGTTTATTGATATTAAAAAAGCTTACGATATGGTTTGGCGTGAAGTACTAATTTATAAACTTCATAACCTTGGTATAAAGTCGTTTTTATCAAACCGGTCTTTCCAAGTACGGGTTGGATCTACTAATTCTAACAGTTTCAAATCGGAAAATGGAATTGTTCCAGGAAGCGTGATAAGTCCATAGCTATTTACAATCATGATTAATGATATTCCAAAAAACATTTCGTCGACATCCAGAACATTTGCTGATGATTGCGCCACATTGAAGATTGTATTAAAAATTAACGCTCTTATATCGAATATGCAAAAATCAGTTTGTGGTGTCAGTGGGGATTTAACATCTCAATGGCAAAATATTATATATTCGACAATATGTTGACGTACAAAGCTCATGTAGAACATGTAACACACAAATATGATTAAATCTGTTGATGAAACTTTTGACAGGCACAACATGCACTGTAAAAAATATTAAGGGCGATTTACAACCAAACGCGCGGCAGCAGCGATGCCATGCACTTCGTTGTGAACACCATATACAACTTCAGATGTATTGTATCGTTGCAAGCGCTTGTAATTTTACAACCAAATGTATGTACTAGGCAAAAGCAGTGGGTTGGATGTCTCCGATTTTTACAGCCATAGCGATGCTAACCTTAACTACAAGAAGAAGTTGTAAAACTAAACAACATCCGCAAAGTAACTCGATTAACCCTCATGCCAGCACTTGAAGAAATGAAATACAATTGAAAAGAAATCACTTTTAATAAAATATGTGATCTAATATCAGCAACGAAATAGTATCAAATACACTCGAGAAGTGATCGTCTCCGCCAGCAAAATAGTTCATTTCATCTCTTCAAATAGGTGGAAACCATCCAAAAGATTCAACATTGCAGTGGCCCCCTGTCACTTTTTCTTGCAGTGGCTGTTTATCTTGGCAATTCGGCTGAAAAAAAAAATGGCATAGCTGGTATAAAATGTAAACAAGTAGTTGAGTGAGAAGTCAACATATTTACATATGTTATAACTTGATCTGCTGGGGTAAAATGATTCCATTAGCAAAGTGGTAGATCCATATTATATTCAATGCTCAGAAGAAGTTAAATTTATTATAGGCTATATCATTTCTGAAGCTCGCAATTATATCATTATCTCTCCAAACAATGAAAATTGTTATATAGAAAGACAAAAAACTATGTTTGAATTTTTTTGTCTATTCATTGCACAAAAATCAACTTAGTGCAAGGAGGCTCACTATATACAGTAACATGATGCTCATATTTATAAGCAAGATTTCATTTATTAAACAGTTAGGGCCATCGAAAAAAGAAACACCAATTCTCAAATTTCGCGTGACGTCATAACCACGTGACAAAGTCGCTCGACCAAAACTGCAGGTATATCTCGCTGGACTGTCGTCTGCCGTGAACTGTTTTGCGCGTTCGTTTCCTGCAGTTGTGTTTGAAAGTATTTATCTATTTTGTAACGTTAGTTGGTATAGCCTATGTTTGCACGGCATTTGTTTGTTCCTGTAGCTTAATAGTACAAGGCTTTATGATAATATGTTACGATGAGACAGGGTGTTAGAACTGCAGTATTTTTGGTTTGCCTGGATCTGTAACAGTTTTTTTGTCTGTCATTTCCAAATTTTTACCAGCATATGGTACTGTACGTAACGCGTATATAGATTATAAATAATCTCCTTTTTATTGTTGTGCATTAATCCATATAATGGCGTCGTCAGCTTCTGTATATAGCATTCACCACCCGGATTTCAATACAAAAAAAAAACGCTAGCTTACTTTGAAAAACTTAAGATGTGTCACTTGGAAGAATGAACCTAGGGCCCTAGGCTATATGTCACCACAGGATGCATGAGTGGATGAAACATCTCTATGGCCAAAGGTTGAATACCCTGACGTATATATTAATATCTCATCAATACACCTAGAATATACACAAAAGAGGCCATGAAAAACAGGAAAAGTTTGGAAGCATACAAAATTGAACCGTTCCAGCGTTCGGTGTACAAGCTATTAAAAATTTGACAGTGGAATGTTTTTTGTAACTAGAGTATACTTGGGCTCAGGCAAGTAATCGTTTCGGTCTATTGATAAATATTTCACAGCAGTCTATGATGCCAATCTTGGGAAGTATTGTCGAAAAAGTGGTGGTAGAGTTTTAATATTTGCTTCACAGTCCAACAAATCAGAAACGACATTTTGTTTTCGATTAAATCAATCCAGCGCCAGAATGCGTTGTCGAGATTTGATTTAGACAAATTGAATATGTCTGCTAACGTATCAAAATGTTTGTTTAAGCGTAGTTTCATGAGGGTCATGAGCATTTTATAATAGCACAGATCTGGCAAACAGGGGCAGAGGAAATTGAACATAACATCAAATGTTTCTACTGGTAAACCAGTATAGTAAATGAATTTTTTTGGCTATTTGCTCAAGTTCTTGTAACTAAAAATGTTCAAATTTTCTAGTTTTTCCACTGCCTCATTTCTCTCCATTCTAAGCTGCAAAAGTTCTGCCTCAAAGTTTTCTAAATTAACTAATTTGTCTAAAGCTTCATCTTTCTCTTTTCTGATTCGTAAATTTTACTCCTCGAGTAACTCCAATTGATTTTCTTTGGCGGTTGTATTTGACTCACTATGAGATGAAGCTGCAGTATCGACTGGTTCTGTATCTCTATTGAGTAGTTCTATTTTATGACTTTTCGCTTTTTTATGCAAACTGTACTGTATATTTATTCATTGTATTCGTTTTTAATTGAACTTGTTTTTGTGATGACAAATATACGATTGATTGATATGCACACTTCTATCTTTTGTACTGCTGTATCTGGAAAGTCTTTTTAAATTGGATTTACTCTAGGCGGCCGAATATACAAAAATTGATAGAATATAGTCTGGATGGCAGGGATCTCTAACTGGTTTGCCTGAAAATAAATTTCTTGCAATTTTTTTGACATGACAACAACTCAGATACTTTCAGAAATTCAATATTTCAGTTTATTTCACCAATGAAGAAGTGCAGTGGTACAGTGCATAAGTGTAAGTCAGGAAAAAAACACAATAGAGAGCATTACAAGAGTTTACATACATATTAAAAATAGAGCAATTCCAGAAATAAAAAAAACTATTGGCAAACATATGGATATTTACCACTGATAAAGTGCTTACCGCAAATGTAGACATTTGGGCCCGTTTGATTCCGCGCGTTAGATAGATAGTTTATTTTGAAAACTCCATAACAGACATAAATTGAAGATGGAGAATTCTGGAGAGCAAGCAAAACCAATATAATCTCATGCAAAGATATTGTTGGGAGTGGAATGTAATAAATTGGCAAAGATAGTCATACCCATGAAAGCTATAAGAAGAACCAAGCCATAAAAAACTACACTGATTGCTAGATGGGGCATTGCGGAAAAGGTGATATGTGGTTTAATATACAAACAAACGCAAAACCATGGCGGCAAATTCGGTGTGCGGACACTCATAAAAACAATTATCAAGAAAAACACTAATCACATGTGAACAGGTCTGTAGCCTATAATTGATATATTGACGTGGCCAGCATTGCAGTATACACACAGAGAAAGCAAAACAAAAATATGCCATTAAATGAATATTTAAAAACGTTGAGTATTGATATGGTCATAGTAAGTTACTCTGCAAACTATTTACACATGTTATATAGTCCGAATATTCATTTAGTATTCGTTCCATCGCTGTTATTTACACGCTGCACATTTTTGTCGCGGTTCACTTCCTATTCGGGAACCTGAAATATCCTTATTGATATTCGCTTTGTTCGTGCATCCAAAAGCGATACAATATATAGGTATCTTGCACCGGTACGTCAAGAAGTAGGCAAAAATAATGTAACAAACCTGCAGTCCCGGTTAGCGCGTATACCTGCAGTTTTCGTCGCCTGG